ATTGGTTTTACGAACACCTGATTTGATTACATTTTTCTGCATATTTATCGTCATTCCCTTGCCGCCATTACCTTTAACGTCATCCTAGTACCACTATTACACTTGTACTTTTAAACTTTGATTAGTACCGCCATTTCCTTACTGCCATTACCTTTACTGCCATCCCAGTACCACTATTACACTTATACTTTTGAACTTTGATCTACCCACCATTCACTTACCGCCATTACCTTTACCGCAATCCCAGTACCGCTATTACACTTATACTTTTGAACTTTGATCAGTACCATTTGCTTACCGCCATTACCTTTATCGACATCCCAGTACCATTATTACACTTATTCTTCTGAACTTTGATCAGTACCGTCATTCCCTTACCACCATTACCTTTACCGCCATCCCAGTATCGCCATTACACTTATACTTTTGAACTTTGATCAGTACCGCCATTTCCTTACCGCCATTACCTTTACTGCCATTCCAGTACCACTATATTACACTTATACTTTTGAACTTTGATCAGTACCGCCATTACCTTTACCGCCACCCCAGTACCGCTATTACACTTATACTTTTGAACTTTGATCAGTACCGCCATTCACTTACCGACATTACCTTTACCACCATGTCAGTACCGCTATTACACTTATACTTTTGAACTTTGACCAGTACTGCCATTTCCTTACAACCATTACCTTTACCATCATCTCAATACCACTATTACACTTATACTTTTGAACTTTGATCCGTACCGCCATTCCCTTACCGCCATTACCTTTACCACCATCCAAATACCACTATTACACTTATACTTTTGAACTTTGATCAGCACCACCATTCACTTACCGTCATTACCTTTACCTCCATTTTAGTATCGCTATCATACTTAACTTCTGAACTTTAAGTCGATCAACCGCACAGACCAATCAATTCTTAAAGATGGATGCTCTTTCGCTTGGAAATGAAAGCAGAGCTCCAGTTCTGAGGAGAGGTGAATATATGATGTGGCGAAATAGATTTCTGAACTTTCTGGAAAGCAAGTGTCAATTCTCTGCAATTCTTCAATCCATAAAAGGACCTGCACAACTATTGACAACAGTTGAAGGTAGGGGTGTTCATAAATCGGTTCAAACCGGAAAACCGGACCGGACCGAAAAAACCGGAACCGAACTGAACCGGATGATATCCGGTCCGGTTTTCGGTTTTCAAATTTTATAAACCCGGTTTCCGGTTCCGGTTCCGGTTAAAAACCAGATAGTTCCGGTTTGAACCGGATTAAACCGGGTTTCCTATATTTTTATTATATTAATTAATAGTATTAATATAAAATAGTTATAGAATAACAAAAATAATAATAGTAATAAAAATATAAATAGTAATTGTTTTAATATGTAGTGTATATTGTCCTATGTCCTAATGTTCTATTCCTCTATTTATTCTTATTTTCTTGATAATAATATTAACTAATATCTACTATTCTACACTCAAATTGCTTCAATCTTTGCTCTCTAAGACTAATAAAAGTAATTAGATAAATAATAATAGTAATAGTAATATTACTAGTCACAAATACCTTATTTTTATTAAACAAATAACTTGTATTTGCTAGTAAATTAAATTAATTTAGAAACCAGTTTTCCGGTCCGGTTCCGGTTTTGAACCGGTTAAACCGGTTCGGTTCCGGCTCAAAACCGGAATATATCCGGTCCGGTTTTCGGTTTCTATTTTCTTGCAAATCCGGTTCCGGTTGCGGTCTGGTTTGGTTTGGTCAGATCCGGTTTTGAACCGATGCACACCCCTAGTTGAAGGAAGTAATGTAAATAACCCTCATGTCGGACCCACTCTAAGACTAAAACCTTCGATATGATAAAGCACATAAATTAAGAATAAAAGATGATGTCTTGGCAAAAACATACCTGCTCCAAGCAATTCCTAATGATATCTATGTGCAAATGGACAGTATGGAGAAAGCTAAGGAGATGTGGGATGAAATCTAGAAGCTAATGGAGGGAACTGAGCTGAAAATTAAGGCAAACAAAGCAAGCATGCTGGCTTCCTACGATGCTTTCAAAGCTAGACCAGCTGAACCTTTTAATGAGACCTATAATGGGTTTGTCACGTTAATGAAATGAGGAAAGTCAAAGTGACGAAATCAAATATGGAGATGAATATACGCTTTCTCTCGAGCCTAACCCGGAATGGAGGAGTAATTAAGTATTGCCATTTGCATTTTTACTGTATCGTCATTTCAACGATTTACTTAGTACTGTCATCTTTTTTTCTTTTACTTAGTATCGCCATCTTTTTCTTTATTTAGTACCACCATTTTTTTTCTTTTACTTAGTATCACCATCTTTTTCTTTACTTAGTACCACTATTTTTTATTTTTTTTTCTTAGTATCGCCATCTTTTTATTTACTTAGTACCGCCATCTTTTTTGTTCTTTTACTTAGTATCGCCATCTTTTTCTTTACGTAGTAACTCCATTTTTTCTTTTACTTAGTATCGATCGACATCTTTTACTTTACTTAGTACCGCCAATTCTTTCTTAGTACCGCCATCTATTTTATCTCTTACTTAGTGTTGAGATAATTCCAACATGAAATAGTAGTAAAATGTATAAACTGTATAAATAAATGTATGAACAAGCTATTTTAACGTGGAAACCCGAAAGGGTGAAAACCACGAGACTTTAATTTGGACTAATGTCCAAGCCACTCTCATTCTCATTAAGCCCTCCTCACTATTACAATGTACAAGTATTGAGCTCCCATTAATGGAGTCTTAAGCTTTCTAGAGAGAAGGTGAAGAAGAAGTGGAGGAGGAAGAAGAGGGATCCCAAAACAAGGAGGGAATGCTTCTATTTATAGGAAAAGGGGAAAGAGGATAAAATCTACCCTAATGGGCCAAAAGGGACCTAATGGGCCGAATGGACAAAACGGTCGAAATGGACAAAGCAAGGGTCGAAATGGGTCAATTGGGCCGAAATGGGCTTATATTCCAACACAAGTCCCACAGTTTCTTGAGTAGTGAGCTCGCGAATCTGCCCGCGAAATTATACTCTTGTTCATGATCTTCCCTTGTCTTGCTTGCATCTGTATCTTCGGGTTTTCTTGCTAAATCAATTGGTGTTTGCCCCTCTGGATAGAACAAGCCGATGAGACGCTCTCTCTCCTGACTTGGTCAGGCGAGGGATGCTCTCCTCTGTGCATTCTCCCTTCTGATCGTACCAGACAAGGAAAAAGGACCTCGAATCGGGTAACAGTAGACCCCTATATAATATATAATTCTTCTTGCTATGCGAGAAGCTTTAAGGTCTCATGTACATATATGTTAAATGATATGGAAATGATGAACAAAAGTGTATGTGTGTATTCATGAAAGTATGTAGTAGTACAATGTATAAGAAGTGATGTACCCTTTGCACCAGGCATAATGGTGTTGAGGAACCGGTCGTGCTGTGTAAGACGGCGGGTGCTATCCTCGTTGGGAAACTGTGAGCCTAGTCATGAGCTGAAAACAATACGAGGGCTTACATATGGCCTCGGCTTTTAGAGCAAGGGCTTAAGAGTGCCTTAGCCTAGGTGTGAGGGCTTACATATAGCCTTGGCTTACGGTGCAAGGGCTTAAGAGTGCTTCGGCCTATGCTATAAGGCCTTATAGATGGCCTCGACTAGGAAGGCTTTAGGGCGTTCGGTCCTCGGATGCCCGGCTCAACTTCCTTTGGACGTTCGACCTATAGAACCTCGACCAGTGTTTGTCCAGCTTTGTCATGCATGACCCGGGAGTTTTGACATCGTCATACTTAGCGGCAATCCTCGGTCCGATTCCTCAGAATAGTCGACCTTCGAAGGCTGAGCTAGGCTTCCTTGGATGATCGACCCTTTTTAAGGTCAGCCCGCTCAATCTCTAGTTGCTGGACCTCTGGTATTTGCCTTTTAGATGCTCAGTTCGGCATGCTTAAGAAGCTCGGTCCCTAGATGCCCGACTCAACTTCCTTTGGACGTTCGACCTGTAGAACCTCAACCAGTGTTTGATTAGCTTTGTCTTGCACGACCCGGGAGTTCCGACCTCATAATACTTAGCGACAATCCTCGATTCGAATTTCTGGAGACGTTTGACCTGCAGATGCTGGGATGAGCTTCCTTGGGCCGTTCAACCTCTACATGATCAGCCTTGGCACACTTGGGCTCTGGATGCGTTGCGCGTCATACGACATGTAACATGTATGACTTCTTTCTATGTGTTTTGGAACACTTACATGGTTATGATTGCGCTTGTGAATGGCTCCGCACTTCATGCCGAGCTTCATTTCATCTTCTCGCTCGCGTGTGCCGAGCGACCCTGACTGCACAGTGAATGTGCATACACATGTGTGTGTGTGTGTGTGTGTGTCTTTTTTTAACATTCGTGACTACCAGATGGTGCTCAATCCCTAATTAATAAGGGAGATTTACCTTAATAGGATCAACACATGGCTTTTTTTCTCAAAATAGGAGCACATAGTTTAAACATCCTTAAATAGGACTTTTTTTAGTGATTGGACCAAGATACCCCCAGTGCTGCCACTGTACTGCTGCCTACTGCCTGCCGCCGACCACCTGCTGCTGCCGCCAAACCGCCGCCGGCCGCCGCCGGAGCTTCGGCGACCACCGCTGGAAAAAAATTCCAGATTTTTTTGGAATCCTCCTAGCATTTCGGCCGCCGCCACCACCACCGAATTGCCCCGCTACCAACGGACTGCCTTGGTTGTGCAAGATAACTAGGGGGGCAATTAATTGGGTTAATTAATTGTTGGAGTTCGCCGCCGCCGACCGGCTGCCGGAGTGCTGCCGCCGCCATGGGCTGCCCCGCCACCGACGGACTGCCTTGGTTGTGCAAGGAAATTAGGGGGGCAACTATTTAGATCAATTAGTTAATTAAATAGAATTAGAGGTAAAATAGGTAAGATTAGTCCTATTTAGGGAAAAACATGCATGTAGTCCTATTTTGGGAAAAAGGTTGAATTTTGGTTCTATATTGAACAATTTTCTCAATCAATAATGGCTGAGGTGCTCAATCACTAATATCGCCATCTTTCTTTACTTAGTACCACCATTTTTTTTTCCTTTACTTAGTTCTGCCATTTTTTTCTTTTACTTAGTATCACCATTTTTTCCTCAAGTCCATCTCTTCTCTAGTCTGTATCTCAGTTATCAGCAAGAATGAGGTCCATTGAATCAGTCTATGCTTAGAACAAATGGTTCTGCATAGAGACCAACGACTTCCAACTACAATTTGAATCATTCAAGTGCGAGGATCAAATCATCATTTTCATTCTGAGAGGACATCCGATGTGGTATTCTTTTACACTGACCGACTCCATCCCACAAGAGTATCTCCAACAATTTTGGGGAACACTCAACACAACAAGAACTGCCACTAGAGGGAGGTTTTGAACGCTATCATTTACGACACCCAAGTGCATGCAATTCACTAAAGATCTCGTCCAGACTGTCCTCCGCATCCCAACACATGCTCAGTATGATGAGTTCCCCACTAACAACCAGATTTACTCCGACATTATAAGAATGGGCTATATTGCACCACTTCCTCTTATCTCCAATTTCAAACGCCAACATGTGCCAAGGCCATGGAGAACTCTAATCTATTTGCAATCATCAACAAATGTCTCTCCGCGAAACACACTGGTTTTGACAGGTGCAACCTCTACGTCCTCACACTTAGGGGTGGACCGGTTCCAGGCCAACCGGACCGGGCCCGGCCCAGACCAGTACTGTTTGTACCCAGCCCGGCCCGGGAAACCGGTTCGAGTTCTGGGCCTAGGGCCGGCCCGAGGGGGTAACCGGTTCCGGTTCCGGGTCCAGAAAAAGGCGAACCGGTCCGGCCGGTCTGGGCCCAGTTCGGGCCTTTTTCTTTGTTTTTTTTGGGTTTGGGCTGGGTTTACGTGGGCTGGGTGTTTCCGAGGGGTTTGGCGGGATGGGGATGGGGATGAGGGTTGAAATAAATAAGAAAACACAAAAAAAATTGAACCGAAACCGGCCCGGCCCAGAACCGGTAGACTCCCGGGCCAGTTTCGGGCCTTACCCAAAACCTTCCAAGCCCAGCCAGGCCCGAACCGGAACCGGGCCCTTTCCATCCCTACTCACACTGATATGCACTAATTAGTAGTGCATAAGTGTATGTTTTTATGTTTGATTTGTGTGTATTATTTATCATTTTATTTAGTTTGTAAACATTTTATTTAGCTTAACTGGGCAGTCTTTAGAGGAACAGGTAAGTCAGCAGCTGGATTTTTACTTCGAGATCACGCTGGAGCGGTAGTAGCGGCGGAAGGTTTCCCTCTGAGTGGATCCGGCGATTTGGAAGAGAAAGCGCTAGAGCGAGCTGCTCAGTGGGTGGAGACACTACGATTGCCTAATTTGGAAGTTGAAGGATCTGTTTCTAGATTGCAAGAGGATGGGAGCAAATTTTTGGGCTGTTTAAGTGGGCTGAGTTACTCCGTTGTCCCGGCCCAAGTCAATCAAGCGGCGATTCTGGTTGCTAAAATGGGCCTAGATGGTAATTTTATTTGGCAACAAGGGGAAGCTTTTACACCAAAACTACGGGGGTTATTACATTAGATGCTTCTGATATGCCTTACATCATTTAATCTGTCTGCTTTGTTTATTTTGTTGTGGAAAAAAAAACATTTGTGTGATTTTAGTTGTAATTGTATTTTAATCTTCATTTATAAGTTGTAAAATAGATTTAGGATTTATGGTGTTGGAAAAGAGGACTTTGAAGAGAATAAAACAAGAAATTTGATTGCCCAGGAGCAAAACCCGACCGGGTAGAAATCCCCACCCGGTCGGGTAAGATTTAACAACCGAAGAAGCAAGGAAATTGCCAGACCCGGTCGGGTCCCCTACTTGACCCGGTCGGGTCAGATGTGACCCGGAACACCAGAACATGCCGAAGATCGCCAGAATGTGGGAAATATTTGATTTTGACATTTACCCGGTCGGGTATGTCCATTTACCCGGTCGGGTAAATGCCCCAGGGTGTTGAAAACACCTATAAATAGCCCCATTTTCCTTCACTTTTCAAAACTCCTTCTTCCATACTCTTAAGCTCAGTTTAGAATAGTATTTCTTTTATATTTTTATAGCATGTTTAGTCTCCAAATGAGGAGCTAAACTTCCATTTCTTGGTGTTGCTCTTGAAGCTTGTTGATTATTAAAGTTGTGAGTTATTTTCTTAACTTCTTCCCTTGAATATTAATTATTCTCTTAATCTATCTATATATTAATGTTGGGGAGTGTTGCTAAGATGACAATTAGTTAACATCTCGACATTAGTTATAGTAGTATTTATTTTCTTCCTCTATATATTAATGTTGGGGAGTGTTGCTAAGATGACAATTAGATAACATCTTGACATTAGTTATAGTAGGATTATTCATATTTAATCTTCTTCCTTGAATATTAATTCTTCCCTTAATCTATCTCTATATTAATGTTGGGGAGTGTTGCTAAGATGACAATTAGTTAACATCTCGAAATTAATTACTACTAGAAACGATCAATGAACCGATGGTTAATCGTTGATGGTTTCACAAGTAAGTAACTTCGGTTTATTAATGCACGGTCATGGTTAATAAACTTAAGAGGGATTAATTTTGTTGGTTAAACCGAAACCGTTGTGTTGAGTTTATCAATCTCAATTGATTTCATCAAGGAGTTAAGAGATTAAATGCTACTATTAAGTCGGTATATGGCGGTGTTCTATACTTGACTAATAGTAAGGGTTATTAATGAACGGTCGTTGTTAATAACTACTCTCGATGAATTGGATATACTCCTCGATTGAGTATTTGAGAGGGGATAAGTTATAGATATAACAATGATCGACTAAAATATATCAACAAGTGGAAAGTAGCAATGCCAAGTCCTTTTTATCTTTGAATCAAATCACATTTAACTCGTTCATCTTCGTGTTTTATTTTAATTAAATCACTCAATCAAAACCCCCCCTTTATTTACTAGTTCTATAAAAAGAGAATTATTCATTTCCCTGTGGATACGAACTCTACTACGCCATACTACGTATTAGTGCTAGTATTGAATTTATTTTGACGCACCGTGACAAAGTGCACGTCACACACTCTTGCACGACATCGTCTTCTCCAAAAACTATGATATGTGACACTCATCTGGGATGAATTCAAACAGAACATTCATAAGCGTGACGAAACAAGCCAAGTCCACTTCCTACCATTTATGAGATGGATGTCCATTCTTGTTAGACGATTCTACTGCACAACACCAACCGTCACTCGAAGCCGGAGCATTCCCGGGCCGGTACCGGGCCTGAATTCCTTGATTCCGAAGCCTGCCCGTTCCGGGCCTAGGCCCGACCCGACCCGACCCGTCGCAATCCTTCCCTAGCTCGAAGTGCGTCAACTGTATTGTGCATTTTCCCTTTTACAAGTTCTTGCTAATAGACATCAAATTACTATAAGATTTCTTGAGTTTTCTAACACTTGTAGTTTTGTTTTCAAGAATAAATTTCATTTTGATCCTACGAATATTGCACTAATTCCACCATTGCTCCACATCTTTGATTTTACCACTTTTGGTACATGACTATTGTTTTTCGCCCATATATGATCCTTCCGTCAATGTTTTCGGTGATTAAAATCGTCGAAAAAGTACCACAAATGATCAAGAAATATTAATCACTAAAAGTGGATAATTTAAAATACGTGAACTTAATGTGAAATTGACATCATACTTGTAGGACAAAAAATGAAATTAATTCTTGTTTTATACTCCGTATTAGGCATGAGTTATCTCGCATTGTGTGTCTTAAAAAATTATAAACACCAATGATGGTAAGGGTGCATAAGGGATGGAAAAAATGTTGGTGTAATAAGAAGCAATAAAAGGTTGTTTAGTATGCATCATAACTTGTACGTTTCAATTGTTTGGCTATTCTAACCCTCTTCTTCCGTTTGTATTAATTGATCTCCGTTAAGTTAAACAGAACTCCCCAAATACGTTTCCTTGGTGACTCTTTAGTGAGTTCAATTCAAATTTAACATTTATTTTGGTTATTAATAAATTTTTTTTTACCTCTTTCCAATAAATAGAAAATTCCATTGGAATTAGGCTGCAGGTCTCATACTCTCATCTCCAAACATATACAGTGCTTATAAATTTTTAAGATATGTAAGATATATTTGACATGAAATGATATTTTTAAAACTTAATAATTGTTAGCTTTTAATGATTAAAAAGATTTTAAAAGAAAAAATGGTTAAGTATTTGATAAAAAGTTGATTGTTTGATTTAGTTATATTTCATATACAAGTTGTTATGATTAATTAATGTTAAAAGTTACAGACTTTTCTCAAATGTTATTCAGTGTAGCTTTTCAAAATAAAACTTTTGTTTAGATAAAAACTCTTAAAAATTATCCTGCCAAATATACGAGTACAAAATTTTTAGATCTTTTTAAATAGTAGAAAATGCTAGAAGGTATAACTTATTCCGGCTAAACATGCTCGTAGTATATATTAAGATTTTGATTGATAATGGCTTTTGCACTATTCCCGTAAAATAGAGATTATTTTTTAGGCTATTAGGGAATTTTTACTTGAATTGTAATTTTCTGACCTTGCTAGTTTTGATCCGGTATGATCGGCTCTATTTAAGTCTGGTCTGGTTTGATGAATTCTCATGCATGGCCTATGTGTATTTTATAACGATCGAAGCCCGGTCTGATCTGATCGGTTTAAGTCTGGACTGCTCTGCTTAAATCCGATATGGTTTGTTTTGGTTTGGTCGGGGACTGCAATCGGTCCCAATAAAAACATCGTTATTTATCAAAATGTTCATCATACATCGTCTATACAGTGTTTGGTAGATCTTTTTTACTTTTCTTGGGCCGCAAATGTTCAATGTTTTTTTATATACGGAGTATGACTCCTACTCCAATATATAAGTTGGTTTTATAGTAATCACAAGAACAACAATATAGAAATGATACATAGGAATGACAATTATATTTGTGGTCATCAACACTTAAATGAACTTCTAACAACTACAAGAAATGTCTAACATAATAGTATGTTGGGTGAAGGTCGATTCGGTTCTGTGCTTCTCACTTCAAGCAAACTAGACCTAAATCAGATTTGGTAGTTATTGTGGAGATGTTTATAAAAGAATAATTTCAATTTCACGGCGTTGCTGATCATAAGGGATTAATGTATACGTGGATATCTTTACATCACCCTAAAAAGAGCGTCCAATTCTGCTTGTACCATGTGTTTAATAGAAGATAATAACTACCATTTTAAAAGAGCGCCCAATCCTTACATCCACACTCCTTATCACACAAGTTATAATCAAACTTCACTTCTTAGAAACATAATCATTGTCGTTCTAATATGCATATCATATCGTTTGAAAGAGTGGATGTTCTTCTTAAATTCACACTTGTATTGTGAATAGTATTGGGCACTGTCCCTCACGCGCAACGCGCGTCAAAAAACTAGTACGAGTATAAAGAGAAATACTTTACCGACATGATTAAGGAATAAAAAAAGGTCAACAACCCCTTTGCTAAGTGCTAACCGATATGCGACAACACTCCTTATTTGGCCGATACATTAGTACTACTCTTCTTCTGTCTAATAATAATAAAGTGAACATAATAGTTTTGAGGAACAAATGATTACTTCAATACTCGGAATTTTTAGAATATATTTACAACTAAATGCCTAGCTATTTCTGACAAGCAGCAGCATAATTATCATAATGTCATGAAATGAGGCGCCACCATCATCATCTGTAATGAGCTGCTGCTATGAAGTGTCTATGCCAGCAGCAGCAGCAGGGTTATGCCTTGGTTTCATCCGTACTCGCCTTCGTTTTCATTTTACTGGCTGGAAAGTGCAATCGTGCCATTAGTGGTCGAGGAGCCCGTGTCTTCCGTTCAAACCCTCGTACACAAACATACCCTGAAAAGAAATGGTTGCAACTTGACGTGGAAAATGGATATGAATAAACTAGAGACTGTATGAAAAGAAATGGTTGCAACTATAAATAAATCGTTAGAACCAAAAAAGCACAGGAGGATGTAGAAATAAGGGGACAATTTTTTTTTCTTTTTCCCAGATTCTTGTTACTCCTACAGTTATTAATAATTCCATACCCCTACTATTGTTTGATTATGAGAATACGGTTCAGCATCTAATTTTCCAATTGCAAGTAATGAAAGAAAAAATTTATGAAAAACGTGAACTCCTTTTCCAATTCCGTATATTGGAGTCACACTTATCTATTTCTGCTAGTAGATTTTTGTGAAAACTGTCAAATGGGCTCTCGAAGTATATCAGAAAAGTCAATTATACCCTCCAACTAAAGAAAAACCCAATTAGGTCCGTGAACTACGTAAAAACGATCAAATTTGTAATCTAGCCTGTTGATTCCCGGTTAACCGGGTGATACACCTGACGTGGCAGTCCAGCTAGCACATGTTTAATAATTTTCCTTGTTCTTTTTTAATTCTTCTTTCCTTTTCTTTTTTACTTTCTTTTTTCTGTGCTTCTTTCTTCTTCACTGGACTCCCCTGCATTCTTTCTTCATCTTTTTCAGCTCCCCCACCCCTTCTTTCTTCTTCTTCAGCCAAACACACCCTCCCCGGTCTTTTCTCTTCTCCAGCCCAACCCGCCGAACTCCTCCCCACCTCTCTCCTCCCTCCTTCTTCGGACCGTCCCTTCCCTTTCTCTTTTCTCTTCTTCTGCTTCACCCCACCCCACCCCTTCCCCTCCCTTCTTCCTCATCCCGCCCTATTATGAAGAGCTCCTTCTTTGTTCTTCTTCTTTAGGCCGCTGGAGGCCTCCTTACCTGCCGGTGTCACCAATAAAGCTCAAAAGTGACATCCTCTCCATCTTTCGTTTTCCAATCCCTTTATCACAGGGGCATTGTTTAATTGGTATAAGATGAACGAAATGGCGGACAGAATGGGGCGGAAGAAAAAAGAAGGGGGGAGAAGGTATGGTGCAGTGGGAAGAATA